TTAATGTGCAGTTTCATTACATACCCCTGTGAGCCGGCACCCATATCATTTGAACTGAGACGTCATGTCTGGCTACTTTTATGCATGCGGGAATGGATGACATGACCATGCAAGTGGACAGGGTGGAGGTAAGTGGCCGAAGATGGCTTAGGCTTCTAGTGCTAGAGGGCGAACAGTAAGACAATGCGTGAGAAGGGGCTGGAGATATGATTGTGAGCCCAGTACAGGTAACATGTTGCCTACCACGTGATATAAAAATGTACATTATCAATTACAAAACGTTCAGGAAGATATTAACAGCCAGCCTCGGTGGCCACGATTATTAGAACCCGCGTGTCGAATAGCGCATACAATTTTACGTCTAGAATCCAAATCACGCTCGCATCATGAATGCTTGTCTACGATTCTGTGTGTTGTCCGGTGCTGTCTTGTGATACTAAAGGCCTTACTGTAGGCCCAAACTTCACCCAATGAATTCTACAATTTATCAACAAATTCAGATTCTGAGATAAATTTCTGGCTTCGAAAACTGATGGTTTAATCCATGAAAGCGAAAGAAATGTAATGTGAATATGGTACAATAAAAATGGGTTATTTAAGGAAATATACCAGATGATGCTAACAATGGTTACAGCGGAGAGGAGTGGAGAATCTGTTGCTTGCATATAGCTGTGCCGGTCACGGTAGCCGAGCGGTCTAAAGCATGCACTGTCTTCGCTCGCTCGGAAGCCGAGATCGTGGGTTCGAATCCCATTCAGGGCAAGGATGTTTGGTGTTTGTGTGTGTATGTGAGTTTTTCTGTGTTTGTGTATAGGTAGAGAGGCCTTGAAACGAGCTGATCACCCTACCAAGGAGTCCTACGGAATGTCTAAGATCTAGTAAGCCGAATTTAAGCTGAAAGTGTAATGGGGGTAGGCCAAGGCCCAAATTGGGGCTGTAGGGCCAAAGGAATATAGGAGCAAATGAAGATCTGTAATAAAACGTAATCAGGTCCAGACTTCGAACGGTGGAGACACAGGTGGGCGTCAGGTGCAGGTCTGCGGGGCAACGCTGGTCGGGTATTTAGCTCCTACTCTAGAATGTACCGTAATCTAAAAATGGAAAAGGAAAATAAGTGAAAGTGAGAAGAAATAAATAAGAACGGAGAGAAACAATGACAGAATGAAATAACGGAAGAAGAAAAAACTATTTTAATATAAGAATGTACTTTCATATTACAGCCTACGTACATTTCAAGTTTGTAGAAAACAATTTTCTGCGTGTATATCGTTTCACGGTACTTTGTAGACGAAAGAGTCAAAGTTTCCGCCTATTGTGTATTAGTTTCTTTTTTTGGGGGGGGTGTATATTTCGCTATTTTTTGACGCTATGTCAGATGTTGATATGCCACGCAGAGTCGGATGAGAACAGAGGGATGTGAAAAGTAGATGATGTGTTCTGACTCTCGCCCAAGGACACAGCAGAAATTGACAAAAATCGTCGTCACATCTACCCTAAAGTTGGGAATCGAACCGGGTACATCCCGAATGAAAATTATAAGGTACCCTACAATGCTCAGTAAAGTATTTGTAGTGAATGACTGAAAAGTATAGGAGGGCAATGTTGATTTCCGTTACATCCAGACCAATGTGACGCGTACTATTGCCGTGAGAACCCACAAGGTCACGAGATCATTATGTATATATGAAAAGTCGTACCTCAAGAACATTTCTTTTATACCACATACATCAAGAATTGTTATATGAACGGAACCAGAAGTATTAACACACGTTACTTGTTGTACCGAGCATAGCAGCAACGTTACTGATCACGAAACTGAAAGAAAAAATTAGAGAAATAATTTAAAAACGACCAGAGCCTGGCTTCACAATCCCAGTGTGTACGCACACCACTCTTTTCATTACATCATTATTTGATAAGTACAGCCGTAGTCTTTGGGTTCCTGGAACGTGTGTGTTCGCGGTGCAGTTTTAAAGTCGAACGCTTAATGTTCTCATAGCGTGACGGGGAACCATTCACATGCTGCTGGGGTATCCTTGACAGCAGCACTGATGATAACAGCAATGTCTGTTGAAGTCACAGGCAGAACAATGCGCTAAATGTTCACTTCCCGTTTCCTGCACTTCCTTCTAAATCGTGATCAGGTGTTTCGAAGCACCCATAAAGTGGGGTCTAATGATATACAAATTATGTAACGCTGTTTCTAGACAAGGCTCCACAAGAAGGAAAAGTGCATGACCGTACAGTGATACTATCTTATCTTAATGTGCTGTCTGATGTTTCTCATTTTTTTATAAAACAGCTAAAGTCTGTTTGTTTTATCACATTCTTCAACTGTTTCATATTTTACAGCGCTATTTTTCGGGTCAGAACTTTTGAGAAAAAAAAGAAAGAATGACAGAAGAAGAAAATGGCGGAAGGAAAAGAAGGAAAGGAAGAATAGGAGAGGAAAGGAACATGAAGAAGGATAGTGAGAAAAGAGTAAAAGGTAAAAGAATAAAATATGAAGTGAAAAAGAATGAGATGAAAATGCAATGAAGAGGACGAGACTGTTTCTTCCTGTTACCATAGGTCTCAAAGAATTAAAGATTCCTTGAAGGTTTCCAAATATTTTTAATTTAGGTTCAGTGGAAAATTTCCTGAAAATGACTCATATTAACGTATGTAATTACGAAGCAGCTGTGAACTGGTTAGCGTCTCGTCTCCGAATTCAGAAGGTAGGCTACTAGGCCGGGGAGGCTGATTATCCTGATAGACTGTTTGTGGTTTTCTTCAGTTTTCTCAAATGCCGGAAGAATATCTCGAAATAAGTTGGAGTCACTCCCGTTCTTCCTTAAAATGAATCCTTCATATTGGATCGTAATCCTGGAAATTAGTATTAGTATTAGTAGGAGCAGTAGCGGTGCAGCAACAGGCCTGTATCATTAGTTTCTCAGCTTTAGGGTGCCTTCTCAATATGTGCACTCGCAACTGCTATCTCACAAGAAAGACAAAATAATTTTCGTGTTTCGAGAATAACAGATTGCGGCAAGAAGCCACCTACTGCAGAGTTCATTCTTGATACTGTATTGAGTCATGTAATATTGCAGTTGACCTAATTATTAACGCAACCAATCTTTAAACGTTTTATTTTTAATTTCTTATACCTTTAGACCTGTTAATACTAACGACAACAGTGTTAATCTTAGCATGAATTAATTGAATCTAAAAGGTTCTGAATGCACTGCTCTGTCTTTTAAGTCCATAACGCCCTCTAATTTATTGGATCATTAAGTACTTTACGTCCAAATAAAACCTACATAAACATGACAATAAAATGAGGCAATAAAGAATGCTCTGTATGCATGAAGACGGACTTTTAAGGAGAGCTTAAAAGCCACTTTGAGATGCAAACCAAATAAAACGTATTCTACCAACTGCATTAAAAACACTGATCAATGTACAGTATATTTACTGTCGGATGGAGCACTGCAGGAGGGTCGCCGTTCCCCCACTAACAAAGGTGTAGGTAGGCTGTAGCCGAACTAGCAAAAGGCTCCCTTCTTCACCACGCCCACCTTCAGGACTCTGTAACGAAGCATGAGATGACCCGAGCCGGAAGAGTGTTCTTGTTACTACCCATAAGGCGAGAGTATCAGAAAGTTCAACATATTTAACAATTTTGTCAGAGTTTGCAGTTAGTTTCCTGAGGATCGGGGTTTGAGAAACGGCGACTGTCATTAGCAATCATACGTCGAGTCACTATAATGCGTCCATACTCAGACCTACGAGCAGTTCACGTGGCCATACGCCGGCTGGAAAATATGGCCGTTCATCATGGACATGAAACATGGGAGAAGTCGTGGAGTTACACAATTTCTCTCTGTAAATACTGGCGGGTAGACTAAAGGGAATCACTTTGCGAGCCTCCTAAGAAATGTTCTTAAACAACACGTAAAACTCAGTCTCTAAATCTAAGAAGTTTGTTACGCTTAACTTATACAGGACACTAAACAGTATAATATGTTAGCCTAACAGAATCTGTCGGCGTGTTTACTTTATTGCCAGACCTTGCAAACGATAAAAAATTGTGGCTTTCAACATCAATTCGCCTTTTGCGCTATCAAAGTCCGAAAAATTTTAGCTTTCGTGAAGATTACCAAGGATTTTAAAATATTTTACTGACAAAAGAACAGTCTCGTATATCTTGCGTTAAGAAGCAGCCCCACGGACGGATGCAAAAAGAAATCAATTAGAAGTAAGTCAAGTATTTCTACACGTTAAGAAAATAATGACGCTTTATGAAATTATGGTAACACAGAGGGTCGATAGTGCTTTTAACGTGCTTGTTGCAGTGATTCTGTTGATAGGTTCGCCTTCCAGTAGTTATCTCTCTGCCAGTCATTCATTCATTCATTCTTCCATTCAGTCTCTCATTCATTCATTCATTCATTCATTCATTAAGGGCTCTACAGCCATTTTTTGGGCCCTGGCCTCTTTTTCAGTTTCGTAATCTTTTTTACATAGTCGGTACGACCTCTTGGACGGGGGATCGGCACCTCGCAAGGCCGCTACCTACACACAGAACATCACAAACAAAGAATAAACGCAAACACAGACATATATTCCTTGAGTGGAATTTGAACCCATGATCCCAGCGTTCGAGCGAGCGAACAGAACGGCTTTAAAATATAAACGCGTTTCCTTTTTCCAAATATGCTACACACCCAGCTCATCGTCGCCTCCTTTGTTAGTAATGAAAGGAGTAAAATCTATAAGCAAATCATCATATTACCTCGAAAAAAAATCCAAAACTCTATTAAGGATTCCATTTTGCTATAATTACTTTAATAAAAATGTTTACTTTAGTAGCTAATCACAATTTGTGACCCAAGGAGAGCTGTGTAAGTCCTAAATACAGAAAACTGAAATTAAGTTGCAAATAATTAGGGCATGTCTGTTGCACTGTGCTGCACAAAATCCACATATATTTTTGTGAATTTTGCTTGGCGTGACCTTACCTTGTAAGTGCCGAGGTTCTTCACTGAACATGCCAGCTTGACGTTGCGGCCGGCCGGCACTGTGATGTTCTCTATCTGCTCCGTAAATTCGGGGTCCTCCACGGGCACTGCAACACACAAAACCGCAACTTTCTTAACTAAATACATGATAGAGGCCCTTTCTTGAGTATGTGATGGTCACGAAATACCTTGCTTTATGACATAAGAACTGTGAAGGTACAAATCCTTGTTTTTGTTAGGAGTCTCCATTCCGTCCCCTGCAACAATACTCAGTAAAAATGAAGATGATGGCCGGTAGACGGCTCAGAAACTTCAATTTGGATCGCAACTACGGTGAGGTTCAAGTATAACCACAATGAGAAGATCTGACTTCATCAGAGATGAAGAAGTGGGAAATCTGCAGTGGATTCAGCCGTTCTCATACCTGAACTGAGGCTTTCTGCTGGGGTACCAGCCACCAAACTGCTTTCATAATTCAAATTAAGTCACCTTACTAGTTTGCATTCTATACTGATAGTGTTTTGTGAGTAGAAAACTATAATCTACTTAGCAGTACGCCGATTTTCAAATACTTTCTTTGTATTTCTGTATCTGATCTTCACTTCGATGTTCATATATTACTGAAAATGTAACCATCAAAAACGATCAACAATAATAAATAAAAATGGTATTTATTCGTCCTGGCTTTTGGTGGACTTGTGAGGGAATATAGGAGAAAAAGTGTAGAGACAGATTAAGAAGCAACGTCTGGTCCGTAGTTCAGTTCTAATGAAAAAACATGTGCCGTATTTATCCAGTATTCTTAGAGAACCTCAAGGATCGGGTTAGCGCAGTCGATATAGTGACTGGACGACAGAGAGTTCGGAGTTCGAGTGCCGGTAAGGCCAAAGATGTTCGTTTCTCCATGTCGTCAAGACTGGCCCTGGGACCCACTGACCCAAGGTGTACCGGAGGCTCTTTCCCTTGATGTAAAGCGGCCAGTGCGTGAAGCTGACCACTCACCTCCAACCAGTGTCGAGGTCAAGAAAACGTGGGTGTACACATCCACTTCCCCATACGTCTTCATGGAGTAGTGCTTAATTAAGCACAAGGACAAATTTACTTTTACCTTACAGAATTTTATAGGTGCGATACAGAGCTCCATTAATTCACGTAAATTTGACTTACGCGTGTCTTTTACATGCGGAATTCTTTCTACCCTTTTGTCAGGATATCGTAGTGCTCTTCTTCGCTCTCGATTCTGAAGCTGGGTGTATCTGAACGTTGCAGTATGGAGCACCGTCTATCAACAAAACGTTTGCGCCGAGGTACCTTTGGAATCAGCCTCTCTGCTAAAAACTTTCCGGATCATTTCTAATTCATGTCACTGTAAAACATTTCCTGTAGTCTGGTGGGACTTAGAGCTGACGCATGCGTAGGAATGTAACTTTGGCCACTGACAGAGTGTTTTACACTTAGCCCTTGCTCTTCAGAGACAGGATGCCACAGGCCACTGATGGAAGCGCACTCAAGTGAACTGATACATGTCTCACCTATAAGAACTGTGGGTTCGCCTTCACTTCTGTACCTCGCTATGTCCTTGAATGTGACATCCTGAGAGCTCTGACATTTTGGCGTTACACAGTTCTTCTCTGTAAACCCGACCAACCAGACCAACTTCTCATGGCTTCTTTTCAGAATTGGTGTTTGTTTGTTGGAGATATGAAGGTCACTGTCTTAAGAACAACACGTTCGTTCTAGTTGTCCAGCGATGATGTAGCAGTTGATACAATTCTCTCTTAATGAAGAGTCGCGAACGAATTCGATGCACCAGGTCCTGTGATTTTTGTCTCACAGACCTCTCCGATACTTCTGTCACATGATACTCTTTTGCGTTTGGTTCTTGTGAAGAACTGCATCAGCTTTCCTTTTTACGTATTTTCATACATTACCAAAACACTTACCTAAAACTTAATTCGAATAGACTCACTCACTCATGGAGCTGAGCCCTTTTTGAGAAGCCGCCAGCTGTGTAACTACTCAAGAACTTCCCAGCATTTTATGGAACCTGAAGGTTCATTACCGTGTTCACAAGATCCCTCCACTGGTCCCTATCCTGAGCCAGTTCGATCCACTCTATACCATCCCATCCTATGTCCCTAAGATCAATTTTAATGTTGTCCACTCAATTCTTGATCGTCTGTGGTCTCTTTCCTTCCAGCTTTCCCGTCACTCTCTCAGTGTTACGTACGACATCCTATCAACAAGAAACTCTACTTTCTTAACTCCCGATATGATTACCTTATGTACGGAAAATCCTGTACCTAATTCATAATTCTCACTCCTCTTTCCATAGAAAAATATTTTGTATGGACAGCGTTTTAAAAACGTCCGAATGTTTTTCTGCATGTTAATATCGCAACTGGGCAGTGTCAACTGTACAATCTCACTAGCCCACGGCCGCGGAACAACTAACCAAAACCCAACACCACTACGCACTCACAAACAAGAGGCCGGAAGAATAAATATGACTGTACTATCGTGGACACCGTCAAACACTTTGTTAGACACTAAAGGAGACACACAGACTGAGGTTTTTGAGAACAGGGTGTTGAGGAGAATATTTGCACCGAAGAGAGTTGAAATGACAGGAGGTTCGAGAAAACTGCATAATGCAGGGTTTCATAAATTGCACTTTTCGCCATGTGTAATTAGAATAACCAAGTCAAGGAGAATGAGATTGGGATGGCATGTAGCATGAAGGGGAAGAAGAAGAATGCATATAGGGTATTGGTTGGAAAGGCAGAAGGAAAGAACCACCAGGACGACCAAGATGTAGGTGGGTGGTTAACATTAAAATGGATCTTAGGTAGGATGGATTGGCATGATCTAGGCTGATCTGGCTCAAGATAGGGGCCAGTGTAGGACTATTGTGAACACGGTAATTAACCTTCAGGTTCCATAAAATGATAGGAAGTTCTTGAGTAGCTTCACAACTGGCGACTTCTCAAGAAGAGCTCAGCCCCATGAAGTTAGTTACAAGCATACATTAATTTCCTGGCTAGATCTTTTATTTAATTACTAGTACATAATATTGAAGAATAATTGAAATAAAGTGCAGAACTTAATTATATATAGTTTACAGTGTGTATATTTTGTAAACCGAAATTAAATTCGGTTTCACTGTCGTAAAAATTGCGAAACTTTCGCTGATCCATTTCACCACAAATGAATATTGATATAGACTCCCACAACAAATCTGATAAAAAAGTAAAATTATTTTGGGAACGGAAGCAGGCTTATGAAATGGTGTACCGACAATGCCCTCAAATTCAGTACACATAAAGATTTAAGAAAGCGGGAATGTTTAAGAAAAAAATTCATCGAAGATAATATAGAAGTGGAGAAACAAAATGCACAGAGGAAGGAACAGTAGATGGAAATGGAATTCCGTGCCGTGAAACGAGGTCCCATACTCTGTACATCGATAAGAAGTCTCACACATGGGGCGAGCTTTCACCTCCCAACGCGGAATCATGCCATTGTCTACTTAGTGTGACAAGATTTATCGACTGTTTGTGGACTATTTGGGTCTGTTGAGAAGGTTGTCCGCTGGCCCTGTGACAAATAGGCTGTGACTGCTTCCACAGAAGTCTATGATCGTATTCTTCTACCTTCGTATCTATAGTGGTCATTCTCAAACCGTATTCCCGAGCACGCAGGTTCACAGCTCTGAAGTTACGTGTTGAAATCATAAGATTGATATGATCATACATGATATATATGATTGATATATGATTCGCTTGTCGGCGAAGTTAGTGCCAACTTTTGCAGAGAGAGGATGCCACGTGGTCAGTACAATCGATCATCACGGCCGTTAATCTCAGTTTTCTAGACCGGAACCGCTATTTTCTTTTCCTCAATTATCCTCACGAGGCTGAGGTGGCCGTTTTCCAGGCCCACTACTTCTCATTTGTTACTCTTCTTATTCCCTGTTCCAGCTTCACAAGTTAACTTCTTCTTCCTCAAGGTCTCCCTGGGACTCACTCTTTCGGTTTATAAAGCAGATGTTTCGGTATCTTCTGTCAGATGTTATACCCAGATAATCTGTCCATTTTTTCTGTGTTTACCCGTTTCCTTTTCACTGATTGTTTTTCAATTATTTATTAATGTTACTGGGGACGAATCATGGGTGCATCACTACCGCCGGCATCAAAGCGTGCTTCAATGCAGTAGGAACATCCCAGTCCACCTTTTCGTTCAACCAAAAAGTATAAGGCTACACCAACAGCTGGGAAGGTTATGTTTATCGTGTTTTGGGATTCTCAGGGAGTACTGTTAGCCCATTTTCAGAAGCGTAGTGAAAATGTGAATTCTGCATCGTACTGTGAAGTTCTGTTGAAGCTTCAAGATGCGGTCGCAGAAAACGTCCATTTCAATTGGTAAGAGTGGTACTGCTTCAGCATGACAATGCTAGACCCCATACAGCCCGAGGGGTACTGCTTCAGCATGATAATGCTAGACCCCATACAGCCCGAGGGGTACTGCTACAGCATGACAGTGCCAGACCCCATACAGCCCGAGAGGCACTGCTTCGTCATGACAATACCAGACCCCATACAGCCCGAGCAACCCAGGAATTCGAGTACTGGAATGGGAACTTCTTGAACATCTGCCTTACAGCCCGGACTTGGTACCTAGTGACTTTCGTTTGTTTGGTCCGCCAAAACAACATCTAGGTGGAAAACGTTTCGCTAATGACGAAGAGGTTGAAACGGAGTTGCGGAATTGGCTGAGACAACAGTCAAAAGACCTCTATGCTGCTGGTTTTTGACGCACTGGTAAAGCGATGGGTCACGTGTGTCAGGTTTGGTGGAGGATATGTAAAAAACGAATGTTTGTTCCACTTTCGAATATGTTTTACGTTTTATATCCATTTGTGACCCATTTAGTGACTCTCCCTCTTATCTCAATTTCTAATACGATTCAGTCTAAAGCCCTATCCTTTTCTTAAGTATCTGTTTCTACTTAGTGTACTCCATATATATATATATATATATATATATATANCAAGATACAATCGAAGAACTGCCGTTTATAAGGGACGGCGATGTTAACGGCTCACTAA